AAAAATTGGACGGGGGTCCAATTCTATGGGCCCCAAAAGGAGGTGCCCCCATCCTTCATTTTTTCTAATGGAGGGAAAAATGCTTTGTGTGCAGAACCAAAAACCCCTGTGCTGGCTGTTAAAATGTTGAGTGCCAGCACCCCCTAGTGCAGCTTAGAGGGAACTACTCACTCAGCCAAGACACATAGTACCTAAGCCCCACTGCTTGGTGTGACCAGAGAGAAAGGGTGGCAAAGAGCCCTGAATCCACCTAATACCCAAACTCCAGCAGAGGAGAGGAATCACAATCAAAATGTGGGTCCTCACTCAACCAAGGCACCCAGGGCTCTACTGGTAGCAGGAGCTCCTTTGCATATTAGGCCACACACCCCTAGTGTAGCCAATCCTCCAAGAGCTTACAGAACTCTTCTTACTGGGGCTACTGTAAGCTCTTGGAGGATTGGCTACACTAGGGGTGTGTGGCTTAATATGCAAAGGAGCTCCTGCTACCAGTAGAGACAGGGTGGCAAAGAGTCCTGAGTCCACTTAACCCCCAAGCCCCAGAGGAACCACAATCAAAATGTGGGTCCTAACTCAGCCAAGGCACTCAGTAGGTAAGCCCCACCACTTGGCATGAGCAGGGTGAAGAGCCCTGTGTCCACGTCACACCTAAACCCCAGCAGAGAGACTGGTTCATAATCAGGAAGATATGAAATGTGATCTTCACTCAGCCAAGGTACCCAGTAGCTAAGCCCCCCTGCTCAGTGTGAGCAGAGAGACGGGATGGCTCAGAGAGCCCCAAATCTACCTAACACCTAAATCCCAGCAGGGAAGAAGAGTTCACAATCAGGAGGGGATAAATGAATATGCTCTGTTGGTTGGTTTTTAACAAGTTCCCTGCCTCTCTGCAAACTGCCAACAAACAAAAGGGTGTGGACTGGCTGAGGTGATATATAGCTTTCTGATCCCATAGAGCAGAATGGGAATTCAGTTATTGGCAGCCAGCAGTGCCTGTTAAGGTTTGGAGGACACCCACTGGTGTTTCCAAGGCTGAGAATTCCACCCCCCTCCCGTTGCTGTGGAATTTTGTAAAAAAAACAAACCCCTGTTTACAAACAGAGAGGAGACAGTCTGTCTGAAAATGTATCTATTCACGAACCACCACAAACGGCACCAAAGGTCATGAAATGTTCATGCTGGTCACCCTTCCACAAACATCATTTCATGAATCGGCCAACATTTGTAAAGAACTTTCATGAGCCGGTTTGTGCCCATCCCTAATTTCTTTTTCTCTCTCTTTTCTGTACCTATTTCCCGACAATTTCATTGGATGCCCCTGAGTTCTAATATTATGGGAGAGGGAAGAAAGTTCTTCTATACACTTTTTTTCACCCCATGCATAATTTTATAAGCCTTCATCATGTCTCCCCTTAGCTATCTCTTTTCTAGATGGAAAAGGCCTAGACTCTCCAGCCTTTCTTCATAGGAAATGTGCTTCAACCCCCTAATCATCTGGGTTGCTCTTCTTTGTACCTTTTCTAGTTCTGTAATGTCCTTTTTGAGATACGGTAACCAGAGTTGCACACAGTATTCCCAGTGAGGCCACACCATAGCTTTATACAAGGGTATTACAATATAAAGAATTCTTTAAGCAATCGTTTATTTATTTATTTATTCGATTTTTATCCTGCCCTCCTTGCATAGCAGGCTCAGGGCGGCTTACAGTAGGTTAAAATACATTAAGACACAGATGCATTGAGACAGTGCAATAATGTAGTATACAAAAAATGGCACATATAAAACATATAAAAAGATAAAATACTGATGGCGGTAGCATCCCATAGGGTCAAATACACTGGCTGTTATTATTCAGTTAACAAAGAGGGCCTTAACAGTTCAGATGTTAACTATTGAGATGTTATCAGTATATGGGCAGTGGCGGGTCCTAACCGAAGGCCTGGTGTAAGAGCTCCGTTTTACAGTCCCTGTGGAACTGTAGGAGGTCTCGCAAGGCCCTGATGTCTTCCAGGAGCTCATTCCACCGGTGTGGAGCCGCCGCTGAGAAGGCCCTAACACTGGTAGAGTCTGGTGTCTCTTGGACCAGGAAGAGTCAGACAGTTTTGAGACCCCGACCTCAGTGCTTTCTGGGGAACATGTGGGGAAAGGCAGCCCCTCAGGTAGGCTTTAAAGAGCTTTATAGGTCAAAAACAGCACCTTGAAACAAATCCGGTATGCTATTGGCAGCCAGTGCAGTGCCTTCAGCACAGGCTGGATGTGCTCCCACATTGAGAGACCCATCAGCAGCCTGGTTGCCGCATTCTGCACCAGCTGCAGGTTCCAGAGTTGTGACAAGGGCAGCCCCATGTAGAGAGAATTGCAGTAGTCTAGTTTCGGTGTGACCATAGCATGGATCACCGTTGCCAGGTCATTGTGTTCGAGGAAGGGAACCAACTGCCTGATCAGATGGTAAAAGGCTGCCTTGGCAGTGGCTGCTACCTGGGCCTCCATCATTAAGGTGGCATCCAGGAGAACTCCCAAACTCCTGACCCTTGGCGCTGGCACCAGCTGTGCCCAGTCGATCAGTATTTAAAGCTGAACTACCCCAGTATCCATTTGTTACTGTCACTTCTAATAAATAAATCCTGGAGCTGACTACAAAAGTTAAACCTGAGGTTACAGAAGAAGTTAAAGATGAGAAAGAGGAGGATGAAGAGAAGGAATCTAAAATTTATCTACAGTTACCTGAAATTAAGCAAGCCTTGATGAAGATGGTACCAGCAGTTATACCTGCTTTGGAACAATTTACAGTGTATACTCTAGACCTTTCTGTTATCTTTGTTTGTTTTTTGGCCCCCCCGAAGGGGATTTTTTTTTAAATTTGCATTTCTAAAAAAACTACAACGAAAAGGGGAGGGGAAACTACAAGCTATGGGAGAAAGAAGAAGAAGGCACTAAAAGCCCAAGTGTCGAAGGTTACAAACTGCTTAAAGAAAAGATTTGTTACTCTTAACAATTACTTTCAGACATGAGGAGTATCATCAATCATCGCTTCCTTTGTGTTATCTTTGGAGTGGGAGCAGAAACACCAGAAGAAAAATGCACAAAGTTGGTCAGTATGACTGAGAGGACCGTACCAAGTATAAAATAAATTCCTAATATGCACTTAGGATGGAAGAGAGGTAGATGCATACTACATGCTACATTTACTACAGTGATGTATTTGTTTAAAACATTTATATGTCTCCTTTCCACCCAAATAGGGTCTCCAAGTTTTAAAAGTGGATTATAAAAAACCTTAACTATTCCTGATGTCTCTGGCAAGAAGCAACATATTAACAGCTGGCTAGCCAGCCCATAGTCCTTGGTTAGGGTGAAACAGAATGAAAACAGACAGTCCCCAATCTGTGCCCAGGGCAGAAAGGAGTAATTACATTATTTGCTGCTACTCTCTGAACTGAAGTAATCTGTGGCAGAAGTAACTGGTCCTGAATGCTCAAACATTAGCCTAACCTTAACAGAAATGTAGTTAACAGTGTGGAAAAGCCTGTGTTGGAGTATTCCTGAAGTACTGAGAACATACTGGTGGATTTGTAGATCTGGTGCTGAGTGGACTCCTGGCTACCACAATTATCTGCTAAGTTACTATAATTAGTTTGTTGCTCCTGGTGAGTTTAGAGCTATAAAAAAGACATTGAGGTCTCAGCCTCAAAACAGTTCTTCTAATATCCTGAAGCGTTAACCAACTGGGCCAAAACCTTTTGCTTGTGTGGGGAAAAGAAGGAACACATTGTTAAAAAGTAAGTATTTTATTGAGGTTATAGTATTGGTAAAGGTGCAACTGTAAAGGTGTGAACTTTGCTGTATATATTTGAAGTGTAGTTATGCACTTATTTGGGCGACAGATAACAAACTACACTTCCATATAGTTTAGCAGGCCAACCAGTGGCCCATCTCAGTCTATAGTACTTAGAGAGCACAATGAACAGGATGATAATGAAATTAAATGCCTTGCTTCCCTCAGTGCTCAATTTGTAGAGATGTCAAAGGGCAGCCTTGGCTAGTAGTATCATCTCTAATCTAACTTTAGCAGTCCTTCCTGTGGTGGCTAAAGGGCTGGACCACGACTGTACCAGTTCAACTCCCCCCCCCCCCCATGAACCTCACTGGATGAGCTACCTCACAAGAGGCGTTGTAAGGACAAGATGAAAGGGGCATTTAGAATAAACAGTTAGTCCACAGTGACTGGGGAAATGCGCTCTGCACTTGCTCGGGGCTAAGCAAGCTCCTTCCTCGGCAAGAGAGGGCGAGAATTATAGGCTGCCACAAATCAAACCAGCCCTTTCGATTGCATCGTGACCGAAGGCCTTCCCGGACCCGCGGCATTCTAGTCTCCGGAGCCGCCGGATATTAATAACCTAACGGTCCTTCCAGCCCAAAATAACCCGGCTGGGCCAGAGAGGGGCCCATGTGGCGCAGGGAGAGAGGAGGGGGCGGCCGCCTTGTGTGCGTCGGGACAGCTGCAGCCGGGCCGGGGCTCGCCTGGAATGCAGGCGCGGGCTGCGCACCGGGACTTTTATGGAAACTTGCAGAGCCCGACGCTGGAGCCTCAGCCACGGCAGTAGCAGCGACGCTCTCCAGCTTCTCTCACGCCCACCCAGCCTCTGGGATTAACTGGACGCGAGCAGCGGAGCGGACGGGGGCTCTCAGGTAGGAAAAGCTGCCTTTTGAGGGGGCTGGCGAAGGGAGGGCGCGTTTTTCTGGCACAAAGGTCGGGTTGAGGCCAGTGTTTGGCGCGCAGCGAGGTGAGGGCGCAAAGTGTGGAAGCTGCCCTCGCGCCAGTCTTCTCCGCAGTCTTGTCCCCTGCCGGGCTTTCCCTTTCGAAGGGTCTCCGCTGCCACTTATGGGGGGGGGGTTCCACATCACACACTGATATCTTCCCCCCCATCCCGTGTTCACGGGGGGAGGGGGCGGAATCTGAAGTGCTCTCCCTTCAGATTTCTGGTGTGTGTGTGTTTTTCCTGGCAAGAAAGCGCAGTCTGCTCAGAACCTTCTCAGACGGCCGACGTTCTGTCTAGCGTCTCTCCTACCCAGCCCCACTTCCTTCACGACCTTCATAAGGGAATGCCTACCGTCCAAAGAGCAGCAGGCTAAGGACCCCCCCCCCCTTTACTTGGAAGAAGTCCGTTCTAGAGGTTTCAGTGCGTTTTGCTTAACTGCCAGCCTTTCTCAGATCGCAGCTTCTAAACCCGGGGGGTGGGGGGTGGGACGCAAAGCCAAACGATTGTGCAATGCCATACCAACATCGAGGAAGCAGTTCTTATACGACATCTTGAAGTGGATATGACCTTTTAATGGAGGATCCTCTTGTTCTGACCATATTCAAACATTCCATACCCATAACACACAACTGAAAGTGTGTCTTCCTTTTCGAATGCATTTTCATGTAATGAACATTGAATGCACTCTCCTAGACCAAACCAGGGCAAGAGGCAAAGGAGCTGAACTAAGTCCTAGAGGGAACAGCTTGGATTATGCAGATTGCTTTCTGGTTCCCAGAGGTCAGTGTAAAGGAAACCTTTTACTCAAAGGTGTTGCACTCATCAAGTGGCTAAGGAGATGTCAACTAAGGAATAAGGTGCTGAGCTAAAATTAGAGCCAAGGTAGTGATGGTAGTATTGTTGCCAGATGAGTGGGTGGGTGATCAGCTCAGCAAACCTTGCTTGCTTTCCTCATTCACTTATTTTGGCGGTAGTTGCTACAGCTTACTTGACCCTCACTAATTGTTTTTTGGATGATCTTGATTACTGTTGTTTATTTAACATTGTTCCTCAGTTCAAGTTTTTGGCTACTTGTATCCACTGGGTACTTTAATGGATACTATAGTATGCAGAAGGAGAAAACAGTGTAATTACATTTAGAAGCAGATCAATGAAGCGAGACTTTGCTAATATTTCATGATATACAATTGGCCCAGATGTAGAAGACTGAAATCCTCTTATAAAATATGCCTTTAACAAGTGAGCCAGCTGACTACATAAAAATATGTAAGCAACTTTTTGGAGAAATATTCTGATTTTACATTTAAAAGATCTCTTTAAACATTATGCACATTCAACCCACCGTTTTCAAATAATTTCCTTTTTTTAAAAACAGCATCTTACCAACTTTGCTATGAAAAGCAAAGGATACATTGGGTCAAAACATTTGCAATAATATATTAAAAACAAGGACATGTGGGACAAAGATGGGGGAAAATGCTTACTACCTAAATAGCCTTCAAGTCTATAATATTGTATTGGGAAAGTTGGTGAGTAGAGTGTCTGTTCTGTGAATGGGAAATCCCTATTCAAATTTCACCCCTGCAATTAATTCACTGGGCAAGCTTCTAGAGTCAAGCCACTACGCCTTCGGCTCCATCTGCAGTATGGGAACAGTAATATTGATAAAAGTGTAACAACCTTATTGGAATAATACGTTGGAAGCGCTTTGAACATTCTAAAGGACTACAGACATACAAAGCATTACATGCTCACTTGAAGAATCATTGAATTGTCTTTCAGACAAAAATGTTTTTTCTGCTTTTCTAAAATTCTGCTTTTTAAAATCTGCTAATTCAGTAAGAAATGTGCGTATGACTGTATGCATATGTGCACATATACATCTGGTGATTTATTGGCAGTAAAATGTATTTCTGAAGGCCTGATGGCTGGCATTCTTAGAAATTAGCAAGAACTCATCTGCTGGGGGGGAATTAAAATATTGCTTTGAAGAAGTAGACATGAAGAACAGAGAAAGAAAAGGGTGAACCTGTGATCTAAACAGCTGTGAAGCTACATCCCACAAACTCAAGGGGGATTTACACTTGTTATTCAGATGGCTCCTCCCTAAGCCTCACAGCAAATGTCATTAGAAACTAGGAGGTTGTTGCGAAAGGAGTTTCATATGTCCTTGGTCATTTCAAATAAAAAAATAAAATGTTCTGTTGAACTACAAGAAGCCTTTCACATAAGTCTAAGTAGCTCTCTGGAATTAAATTTTATAGGGCTACTCATGACAAAGTATATTTATTTATATATATATATATAAATATATTTATATATTTTATATATATTTATATATTTAATTCATTTGAAGTTTCTGGCAGGTACTCTGTCTCAAGCAGAATAAGCTCAAACATTCAACTACTATAATTAGCAGATAGTCTCAAAATTTCAACTGCATTAATACTTGCATTCAAATATTACTGATTCAAAATCATTGAGTACAATTGGAGGAAATGTGAAATCAGCATGATTTTTCCCAGCTTTCCTGTTTATAGGTTAGTGTATAGGTTAGTGTACCTCTATAAATTTGTCTCAGAGAACTCTTGTCCAGTGATGTGCCCAAACATTTTAGAAAAGTGAGCTTCAAGTAGCTTTCTTTCTTTCTGATTTGGAAGCTTCATTGTTCTTTAGCATCTTGGAATAAATTGTCCCCAGTAACTCTTTCCAATTGCTGGCATCCTCAGAATCCAATCCCTGCAATTTATTGATGGTTGGTATTGGCTGATTTTCCATTTGTGACTCATTGCTGAAAAGGAACAGTTTAATATTTTTCATTCATATTAGGCACAGAAGCTGAAAATGAAAATGTTATGTTTCCTATAAATGCAATGCAATGCAATATACCTTCCATTATTTTCTGTTATTTGTTTATCATAGGTAGTTTTGTTCTCTTCTCTGCGATGTTTGTGCTGGTACTTCTGTTGTACATTCTGTATATTGTGAAGCCGCATTTATTTATAAAGTAGTGCAATGTCAGTGTTTGCAGATGGTGATAAAAAATTAAGGGCAATGGGATTGTATTGTGCAAGGAATAAGTCTTGGAATAATGTGCTTCTTGTAAGTTAGCAGTGAAATGTCAACTGGCAACTATTCCCTGGGACTTGCAAGGAATATCACTTTGTTCTTACTAGAAATGTAATGAGTGGACCACCACCACAGTCTGAACACAAGTATTTCACTTATTCGGCATTGGGAATATAAAGAGGATTTTAATATTCAGTTCTATATAACCCTTGGAAAGATTACTGAAAGGCTGTATGGAAGTGGTACAAGGTGTCTAGCATGTTCTAAAGAGGCGGTGAGGATGGAGTCAGGAAAAAATAGCTGATTTTGATGCAGCTCTGTTTACCCATGGAAGCAAGCTGAATCTCCATATTTCCCATTGCTTGCAATAACAGGATGAATACAATCGTGATGACGTAGATCCCTCGCAAGTGGTGAGGGCTGTATCTGAAGGTGAAAGGAAATGCCCTCTGAAATGTACATGGATGGCAATGCAACATTCCAGCTGTTTCAGATTATAAAAAATGGGACTGGACCTTTTTATGGCTTGAATATCATATCTGGAACTCTAAAGCCCCCAGCCCACCCGAAAATAGTTTCCCATTTTTTTGATCAGCAGTCCTTTGGGTAAATCACTACATAAAGTGAAGTGGTGTGGCCTAGGTTGATTGTGGGCTATATATCAACTGCTTCTGAATTGTGTTACTGTTACTGTCCTGAAATTATTAGTATTTCTCTGGAAATCTTAATGGAAATTGTAACCAGCATCATCACAGAACCACTTATTCATATCATTTCCTTCCAGATGTAGTCAAGGTGTGCTCATGGCCTTATTACGGAAACTCATTGTCCTAGCTAAATAATTATTCTTATTCTTCTCAGTTACAGCCGAAGTGGTATTTTTAAACTATACTATAAGATACAAAAATTGTTGCTAGTACCCTAATGCATATTTAACCATAGAAAATTAGTGAATGCCTGAAAATAACCAAAGAGAAGCCCTATTGGTGGGAATTCTAGTTTGGTTGTTGTTGTTCAGTCGCACAGTCGAGTCCGACTCTTCGCGACCCCATGGACCAGCTCCCGCCAGGCCCTCTGATCCTCCGCCGCCCTCCGAAGCCTGCTCAACTTCATGCTCGTTGCATCTATGACACTGTCCAACCATCTCATCCTTTGCCGTCCCCGTCTTCTTTGACCTTCAATCTTTCCCAGCATCAGGGTCTTCTCCAGTGAGTGCTCCCTTCTCATTTGGTGGCCAAAGTATTTGAGCTTCAGTTTCATTATCTGGCCTTCCAGGGAACAGTCAGGGTTGATTTCTTTTAGGATTGACTGATTTGTTCTTCTTGCAGTCCAAGGGACTCTCAAGAGTCTTCTCTAGCACCATAGTTCAAAAGAATCTATTCTTCGGCGTTCGGCCTTCCTTATAGTCCAATTCTCGCAGCCATACATGACTACTGGGAATACCATTGCTTTGACCATGCGGACTTTTGTTGGCAGGGTGATGTCTCTACTTTTTATCATGCTGTTTAGGTTCGCCATCACTTTCCTCCCAAGGAGTAGGCGTCTTTTAATTTCATGACTGCTGTCACAGTCTGCGGTGATCTGGGATCCCAGGAACGTGAAGTCTGTCACTACTTCCACAACTTCCCCTTCTATTTGCCAAGGAGTGATGAGGCTGGATGCCATGATCTTAATTTTTTTAATGTTGAGCTTCAAGCCCACTTTTGCTCTCTCCTCTTTTACCCTGAGCAAGAGGCTCTTGAGGTCCTCTTCACTTTCTGCCATCAGAGTGGTATCGTCTGCATATCTGAGGTTGTTGATCTTTTCCCCAGCAATCTTAATTCCCGCTTGTGATTCATCTAGGCCAGCATTTCGCATGAT